TAATTTTTAGTCATTTTTATTAGAATATTTTTATTTGTTCATAGTATTATTGTGACATGACCGTTGTAATCCCAATCAACAAAATTATTAAAATGTCATTAAATACAAAGACATTTTAATCTTTTTTTTTTTTAAATACAAAGTAGGTTGAACCGTTATATTTTTTATATTTATTTTTAAAAAAAATAATTCACAATTGAAGACCGAAATACCTTTATATTTAAATTGTTTTGTTGATAAAGAACGACAAATGGTTACGCTGCAATAGTATTATGACCAAAAGTTGATACATGTTTTTATAATTAAAAAAAAAAAAAGACTGAAAGTATATTATAAATCTAGAATAAAAAATGGAATTAACTCTAAAGTAATTTTTTTTTTTTAAGTTTAAAAGATGTCCAGCTAGGGGAATGAATTGAAAAATACACTATGGCCCACGAAAAATGCACTGCGACTAAAGAAAGATACACTGAGGTCATGGAGTTGCAACTATATCATGACGAAAGTATTTCCACAATGAATTATTTCATGTATTTTTATTTATTTATATTTTTCATATTTTTATTTATGTATTCAATTTTTTGAATTTAATGTGATTTTATTTGTTTTAATTTAATAATTGAAACTTTATTTTTATGTATGTATTTATTTTAAATGTATTTAGATTTAAAATTGAAAACTTAAATTATAATTATAGGAAAGTGAGTAAGATTTTTTTTTTTTTGGTGGGACCAAAACTTATGTGGAAGAACGGGAGCAAATGAGAGAGAAAATGGAGTTAGTCCAGTTTTTTGTGGGGTCTATGAAAACAAACAAAAAAAAAAAATCAAATATTTTACCAACAGAATTGTTTTCTTTTCTCATGTTTCTATCCCATACTCTCTTCCAGGCTTCTAGTTGGCCAGAGAAAAATTAAGAAAAAATTTATCTATTGAACTTACTATAAAGTAATAGATGATGTGGATGAGTGCAGGGCCTATAAAATGATAAGAAAAAAAATAAAATAAAAATAAATTTATATGATAATGTGGAAGAGTTAAACTCACAAAATGAAAGATAAAATGAGATAAGGGTTGAGATACCCTAAGACAAAAATTCGAATACCATACCAATTCTTTCATATTCGATTTCATGTTAAGTAAAAGATGGTAAGTTCTACATTTTCATTACTTATGACTAATTCCCTCGCAAATTTAATTTGATAACTCAATAATCAATAAGGTCGAGGACTTGAGAAATGTTATTAGATTGAAAGTTATATTTATGTATGTATATTTTAGACTAATTTTTTTTTTTTTATACATGATGTTTATTATTTGTAGAACATAATTTGATTTATTGAGCACACCGCACTCCCTTTACATAGAAATTTAATATTGAGTTGCCCGCACAAGCTTAGCTCACAGCTGGTTCAGTAGATAGTATTTGGGAGAAGAATAAATTTAATATGAATTAATTTTACTTTTGGTCCCACAACTTTTGAGATCTTATCACTTTTAGTGCACAATTTTTTTTTTTCAATTGGTGCCTAACTTTGTTATATTTATTAGTTTTGGTCCTTTAATTTCGACAAAATTGGCCGTGAAATATTGCCGGATTTGATATTTTAGGAGAAAAATCGTCCTCATAAAGAAAGATATTCAATATCTAAACAAAAGAAAAATCATATTAAGAGAAAAAGATGAGTTTGTCAACCGTCGATGCTATAAATCTCATAGATTGTGTCAAGTTTCTGTCCGTCTTCCTCATTATTCTCATCGATCAAACACCCATAGATATGATTTTTACAATGATTTTATTTAGATATTGATGATCTTTCCTTGAAATGACTTTTTACCCTTAAAAATATAAAATTCGATAATATTTAGCCGTCAATTTGGACGGAATGATCAAAATTCATAAAAATAACATAGTTAGGCACTAAAATAGAAAAATTTTAAAGTGGTGCATCAAAAGTGATAGAACCTCAAAAGTCATAGGACCAAAAGTGAAATTAATTCATTTAATATTGAGTTAATACCAGATTTGGTCCTTCGACTATTATGATCGGATTTCACCATTTTGGTCATCGACTTTCAAACATTCTCAATTTCGTTCCCAACTATGGAATTGTTAACCAAAATGGTCCTAATCAAGATTATTTTGGCTTTAACAAAAGACTATTTTAGGTAAAAATTACATAATTGAGGATGAAATTGAACAAGTTCGGAAGTCGATAATCAAAATGGTGAAATCTTAATAATCAAGGAAACAAATCGAGTTTTAACTCTTTAATATTCAATAAATCAATGTTCATTATTTGTATGCATAAAATACTATACATTATTTTGCGAATGTGATTTAATTCATAATTCACACATCGCTGTATAAATCATGGTACATACTATAATTTGTTGGATTTGAGGGTCTGAATTTGTTAATCATTTAATTAAAATTGAGCAAAAACTGTATTTTTTTTTTTTTTTTTTTCGTTCTATTATTATGAAGAAACCGCCAATAGAGAGCTTACTTTGATTTATATTTTAAAGAAAAAACACGTAAGAAATTTCTGTCTGTCCGAGTGTGGCTGGCATTTGGTAGCATTGCCACATGATTTCACTGCAAGCACCAATACCAGACTCAGCTCAACTTGTTCTTTCTATATACATATTGGATATAATTGCAGTGTAGTATATATCAACTAGTCAATAATTTTTTTCTATTAGAATTTTAGAATGCAATATCTGATGAGTCAATAGATTGCAGTATGTCTCCACTAAGGTTAAAACTCACAACCTCTCATGTGAGAGTTCAACTTGGTACCATTGGACCACAAGGTCCTTGATACCTAGTGAATGATTTTATTTGTTTTATATTATTATTATTGTTGTTGTAGTAGTAGTTGGTGTTACAATATAAATTGCAAAAAAAAAAAAAGGGAGAAGAAGAAAAATAAATAAATAAATTGTACTACCGATATATGTTCATTTTTAGTATATATATATATTGTACAATATTGTAAAAATCGCACCTAGATGAAAGCGGGTGGACCAGAAATTCATCGGAATCTATCGGTGATTTAGGCGGCCGGGCCGTGTTATGTATTTTTTTTTTAAGGGTTTATCAAGTATAATGCATACGTTTTCTAAAAAAGAATATTTAATACCTATTATTTTAAAGCATCATAATTGATTGTACTATCAATAAGACCTCACCAAGTCAACGATTCCATGATCATGAGGTGATGAGTTTAGTTCTCAACTATCAAAGAACAAGTGGATTGAATAAGTTGACTTTATTATGTATATATTAATTTATTTCATCCCAATTATTTTTTGTAATTTAGCTATATGATATGTATTACGGATTATTTGGCTATGCTTCAGACAGTCTCACGAATTTTTATCTGTAGAACGGATCGGATCAATATGAAAATGTAATAGAAAAAATGTAATACTAATCAGGAATAAATAGTTTGTTATTTATAAGAGAAAATGTAATACTTTTGGGGACAAATGTAATACTTTTACATCTGTATTACATTTTATCTCTTAAGTAATGTTGACAAATGTTTGTTACTTATAAGGAAAATTGTAATACTTTTGAAGAAAAATTAATACTTTTAAATCAAAATATAAAAGTATTACGTTTTTATTCAAAAGTATTATACCTTTACATATGAGTAATAAACATTTTATTTCTTATTATTATTATATTTTTCATTATAAGTATTACATTTGATATGCACCCGTCTCACGGATCCTACATAAGTTTTTGCCTTTGGCTATTTGTTAGTATCATACAATTAAATTAAATATTTTATTTTTTAACAGATATTTAATATCTTTATTACTTAATGTTAGGCGGCGGCGATTTAGTCCAACATTCTGAAATCGAAACATGGCGCTAGCTGACTGCTACACAAGTATATATATAATGAAATAAATTTACGCATTCGCTACTAATTATAACTTTTGGTGTAGTAGTAAGCTCTTGCCAAGAGGGGAATTGTTGGGTTGTGGCTCGGAGAGCCGATAGAGCGGAGTTGTGTCTAGCATTTTGCCATCGAAACATTACTCTGGTTGAGTCCAACATCCTGTCATCGTAACGTGATACACTGCTACGTATGCAAATATAAGGGAAATAAAGTTGCGATTTCGCTACTAAATATAACTTTTGACGTAGTAATAAGTGTTTGATTTTGATATTTCCTATATTCCTTAAATATTTTTAAAATGCAAAATATAAATTTTAAGTTTTTTTTTTGAATGTTACTGGTCCTGAAGCTCGAATTCGTAACCTTCCAAATGAAAGTCCAACTCGAATACCATTAAACCAGATAGTCTTGGTATAAATTTTAAGTAAATAAATGTTTTTGTAATTAAATAATAATTTAGTTTTAATTTACATAAATAATATCAACAGTAAAATATCTAAATGATAAAAATACATAAATTATGCCCCATCTTCCCAACTTTTGGTAAGGTGGGGCTGAATGCTTGAAAGCTTGCAAATAGTTTTTAAATGCTAAGAAATTTAAGTGGAATTAAAAAGAAAAGAAAAAAAATTGCAATTTGTGTTTTATCAATTTGTTCTCATTTCAATTAATAAAAGACGAACTAACCTTTAGTGTGATGGCATCCGATCAATATTTCAAATGGATGGTAAGAGGTTCAAATTTGGGTAAATATTTCAAAAAGACATTAAAAGACCAAGTCTATACAGGGTTTTTGTGGGAAGCACAATATTGCATGTTCTATTATATATATAGAGAGAAGCACTTTCTTGCTTGAAGTTAATTATGCAGTTTCCATTACCTTCAACGCAGCCATCTCAAAACCGATAATGGAAGTGTTGAGGAGGAGCTTACTCATTGCATTATTTCTTCTTTTCTTCACTTCATCCAACGTTGTACTTCAAGTTCTTTCCCAAGATCCTCAAGCAGGTATATAATATATAGTATATATGCATCGATAGATTTTGAATTCATATATCTAAATTAAGTTTGCGCTCTCGATCAGGTTTTATAACTTTGAATTGCGGAGGCGAAAACTTCACGGACGACAGGACAGGCTTACGTTATACATCGGATGCGACCTTCGTCGGCGACAACGTGAACGCCGTAAGCAACAGTCTGACCCCACAGTATAAGAACGTTGTCCTCGACACAGAATGGAGAACGGTCACAAGTTTTCCAAAAGGGATTAGGAACTGTTACACCCTGCGGCCTACTCAAGGGAAGCTGAATAAGTACCTGATACGTGCTAGATTCTTCTATGGAAACTACGATGCCAATCCCGACAAACAGCTCCCACAATTCGACCTCCACCTTGGAGTCGAGTACTGGGACACCGTCCAATTCATATCCGAATTCGATACTGAGGTTGTCGACAAGGAGATCATACATATTCCTTCCTCGGACCTCGTACATGTGTGCCTATTCAACATCGGCCTCGGCACCCCATTCATCTCCATCCTCGAGCTCCGGCCATTGACCAATTCTATGTATCCTTCTGTTTCCGGCGGATCCTTGATGAACTACATACGGTCTGATATAGGCTCCACCTCGTTCTCTGCATCTACACATGGTCTCAGGTGGGATGGGCTACTTAATATAATTATACTCCGTACTATATATAAAAATAAAACCTAGTCCAAAATGATATATATCTGTTCGTTCTGCAATTAACATATTATATATTACCTCGTACATGTTCTATTATATATAATATGTTGTGTTAATTACAAATACACATATTTTGGATCAGAGTTTACAATGCAAAATGAACTCTAGTTGATGGTATAACAGTACAATTATTGCTGCATTTACGTATATCTCAATTATATTTAATTTCCAATTACGATGTATTGACATGTTACGTTTGTAATTAGGTACAAAGATGATGTATTTGACCGCATCTGGGTTCCATGGACACTGGATGGTGCTAAACCAGTCAACGCTACATCGACGACCGAGAACTTCGCAAATGAAGAAAACTTATTCAGAATGCCACCTGCGGTGATGAACTCTGGTGTTGTGCCGTCTGATCCAACCCAGCCGTTGACGTTCAGTTGGTCTACCAAAAAATCCACGGATAAGTTCTACATCTACTTGTCCTTTGCTGAAATCCAAAATCTTAAATCCAACCAAACCCGAGAACTCAATATCTACCTTAATGGCAACTTTTACTATGGTCCGGTTGTCCCGCCTAATAAGGGCTATATTACAGTGTACCCCAAAATCCCGTACACCAATGCTACCAAGTACAATTTATCGCTCAGTAAGACCCAAAACTCCACGCTTCCTCCCATCATCAACGCCCTTGAGGTTTATTATTTGAAACAATTTAATGAACCACAAACCAACGACAATGACGGTACAGACTCCATATTTTTTTTATATGTATTTAATTTTACCTACTCTGATCTGATCTAATCTAAAGCGCATTCTTAATTTGGTCACGTACGTTTTAATTTGTGTTTTTGCATAATAAACTTCTTCGATATGATCATATCAGTTGCGGCAATGTTTGGCATCAAATCAGATTATGGCGTGACCAATAAGAATTGGCAAGGAGACCCTTGCTCACCTCTCTCTTATTCATGGAATGGTCTCAAATGTCACCACACAGCCTCAAATCCCCCCAGAATCACATCCATGTATGTATTCACCCCCCCCCCCCTACTTTGAAATTTCATTCACAAGCCAATTCAAGCTAAGTTTAGTTTTAAACATGCAACTTTATTATTATTATTATTATTTTGAGTGTCATATTCATAAAAACTGTTATGTTTAATCTAAATTTAGGAATTTGTCATCGAGTGGGTTGACCGGGCCAATATCTTCTTACATATCCAACCTTACAATGATACAAGTCATGTAAGTAATATACATGCATCATGCATGCATGTGCAATAATTACTTCAGCTTTTACTGATTGATTGAAGGAGATGTTAAGCAGGAGAAACATGATATTAATTATACTCAATTTTATATTTTCAGAGATCTATCCAACAACAAGTTGACTGGACCTATACCTGATTTTCTATCTCAACTGCCTTCACTAAGTATTCTGTAAGTACATTAGAACCTTTAAAAATTATTATTATTATTATTATTATTATTATTATTATTATTATTATTATTATTATTATTATTATTATTATCTTGTTGATATAATATACATACGCTAACAGCATGCAAAGTGAGAAATAGTGATGAAATTTTTTGAGTTGTTATTTTCTGGAACTAAATTGCAGAAATTTAAGTGGAAACAACTTCTCAGGGCCTGTCCCGGAAAAACTGCTTCAGAAATCGAAAGAAGGAAACTTAACATTGAGGTTTAATTCATTTGCTTTGACTTATATAGTCCATATAATTTTGAGATCAGACTTAAGTTTGACAGGGCAGTGATCTAATATATATGAAAAGAAGTTGTGTGAAACCATCTCACAGATCCTTATTTGTGAGATAGCTAGATCGAGTCGAGATGAAAATACAATACTAATAAGGAATATTAGTAATAAAGTGTTTATTATTTTGATGAAAAATGTAATACTCCGTACTTTTTATGTTTTGATTTAAAAGTATTACGTTTTCTTCTTAAAAATATTTCATATTTGCCATTAAGAATAACAAATATTTTATTGATGATTATTTTTCAGTATAAGTATTATATTTCCATCTTAATTAATTTCACCCTCAAAAACCTTATGATCCGGCATAACTGTCGCTCTCGCAAATGAGATCTCACAAATTTGGACCCTAGTGAGGGCATCATAAGACTTTATATTATATTATTCTTGTCTGTCAGCATTGAGAGTGTGGACCCCAACACGAATAGCTGCCAGAATAATAGTTCCTGCGACCACAACAACAAGAAGAAAAACATTGTTGTTCCAGCTTTGGCATCTGTACTCCTACTAGTGCTGGCAATAGTCGGCATCCTATTGGTGGTTAAAAGGAAAAAAACATAGAGGTATATATATGGTACTCACAATTGAAGCATGTGCTCTATCTCAACTAAGCTTAAACTAATAGTTGGTTGAACCATGACCTTTGGTCTCGCTCTAATACCAAATTGAAGCATGTGGTCAATCTCAACTAAAAGCCTAAGCTAATAGTTGGATTGCACATTAATGGCTATATACTCAACACTCACATATATTATTATTATTATTATTATTATTATTATTATTATTATTATTTTGAAAACCAATACAATCAGAGGGGAGCAAAACCACACTCCTAAGACAGACGAGGAACCAGCCACTCGTGCTAGTGTGTGAGCAACCTGGTTTGCTGACCTTTTGACATGACGAACCATAACGTTCCCAATGTCACTTGCAGTCATACGACATTGCTAAACAATCGAACCAACATAAGAAAAGTCCTCTGAGAATAATCTTTTACTATACGCACTTTATGTTTTAAAGTTGGTTTAACATAGAATAGAATTTTAATTATTATTATTTCTAACAAAGTTGGTGCATATATGTGGTATCAGAAACAAATTTGTGTGTGGCATCGGCAGCAAAAGTAGTTGATGTTGAATCAAAGATAAATGATGGTTTGCAGACTAAGAATCGGCGATATAGTTTCGTAGAAGTCAAAGTGATTACAAACAACTTTGAAAGAGTACTTGGTAAAGGTGGGTTTGGAACGGTTTATCATGGCAGTATAAATGGCACCCAAGTTGCAGTTAAGATGCTGTCATCAACATCAGGCCAGGGCTTTAAGGAGTTCCAATCTGAAGTACGTATAGTATTCGATCTGAATTAAAATTAAATATGCATGACTTTATTTATTGAATTATGAGATTTTGTTTTACAAACTTTATTTTACAGGCTAACGTTCTGATGAATGTTCATCATAAAAACTTGACGTCGCTTGTGGGGTACTGCATTGAGGGAACAAACATTGGGATCATCTATGAATTCATGGCCAATGGAAACTTACACCAGAATCTCTCAGGTACATATACCAGTATATATATGTATGATCATTTCAAATGGAAACAGTATATTTGGACTTTAAAATAACGTTATTAGTGTCGTAAGACTCTAATTTGATCATTTTTAATTCCTGGTCGCAGCCGGAAACCATAATGTTCTAAGCTTTTGGGATAGGCTCCGAATTGCTGCAGATTCTGCCCAAGGTTAGTATACACGTACTATTACATTCTATTAAACTTCTCTGGACGGACAAGTGGACTTATTCTAATTATATATTGCAAAGGATTGGAGTATCTTCACCATGGTTGCAAGCCGCCCATAGTTCACAGAGATGTCAAATGTACGAATATCCTGCTCAATGAAAAGTTCCAAGCCAAAATAGCTGATTTTGGATTATCGCGAGCTTATCCTGATGAAAATCAGACGCATATCTCAACAGTTATCGCAGGCACTTGGGGATACGTGGATCCTGAGTATTACACATTAGCTAAGTTGACTGAGAAGAGCGATGTGTATAGTTTTGGCGTTGTTATTTTGGAAATAATGACAGGGCAACCTGCAATAATAGGGAAAGCCCCTGACCAAGCTCACATTAGTCGTTGGGTGACCTCCATGCTGAAGAATGGGAACATTAAGGACGTAGTTGATCCCAGGTTAATGGGCGAGTTTGACGCTAATTCAGCTTGGAAAACTGTGGAACTGGCACTGGCTTGTGTGTCTCAAGATTCCAACAAAAGACCCACTATGAATGAGGTTGTGAGTGAGTTGAAGGATTGCTTGGCAACGGAGATGGCTAGACATGGCGGCACAACTTCACAGAGGTCCATCGATAATTTGCCCGCTGCAACTATTGACTCAGAATTTGGGCCCATGGCAAGGTAGTAGTGGCTCTTCGTCATGCACTTATGGGGTGACGTAGAGATTCAAACTCGTGACCTTTGGTCTTGCTTTGATACCAAATGAAGCATGTGATATATCTCAACTAAAAGCCTAAGCTGATAATTGGATTGATTATATGCTCAACAATGAAGTATCATTTTAATTAAATTTTAGTTTTATTTGATAATATTATATTGTTATGTTTTTCAATTAATATTGTTATGTTTTTCAATTTCTTACCCTCAAGTAATAACCTATGTAGCCTACCCTTTCTTCCTCACTACTTCACCTTCAATTCTTCATAACTGTTAACTATTTATTATTTAGTTTTACAGACTTAATTACTTTGCTCAATAATTCACCTGGCCTCTAATTTAATGTTGTGCACAATGCATTATTACTGGCTGGCAAATGGCAATGTACATATATTAAACACTTTTTGGTCAATTATTTGAATTTATATGCAAGTTGTTAGGCAGAAGATGAATATTAGGCTGTCATAAAATGAATAAAACAAGAATCGAGGCACAGTATTCTCTCTATGCTTTTGAGTTTTGACTTTTGAATATGGAAAATGATACGTGTTAAGTTGCTGCGCATTGGAGTAAGACTAAAGAGACTACATCCAAAGTCAGCAATATAAATTAGGAGTAAGACTTTAGGTTATAAATCTAATTTTTCGCATTTTTACGGAAGATTTTTTTTTTTTTTTTTTTTTTTCAATTTAGGCACTGTTTCTAGTTGTTTGGTTTATTATACAGTAGTAATTTGTGAAAACTTTTTGTTTCATTGAAACCCTGTGTCACGTCACCCTTTAGATTCGTTGCTAGCCACTGGTCCCAAGGCAGAGTATTCAGAAGAGCATTCCTTCGCCTGGGAAGAGCTGCTTCCCAAATCCCTTTTGCCGCCGGGCACGTTCTAAATAGGTGAGGTAGATCAATTGCTGCTTTTTTTTTTTTTTTTTTTTAAATAGATATAAAGTAGTAATCACTAATCAATAGACGTTCTCTAATAGTTATTGTACGTTAAGTCTTCTGCGAGTTTAAAAATATTCGGATGTTCTACTGAGATTTAACTATGATCTATTGGTCTTGACTTAGGTATATCTCTATTGAATACCATTCTTCATTTGCTACATATACATGCCTCTATTGATAGACTCCACTTATAATCTAGAAGCATGTCGGTTACTCTTATCTATTTAGAAATTCGCAGATCTATCAAAGCAGCTTTTAACAAAAACAAAAAAAAAAAAAACTTCAGAGAAATGTAGCAGAGTTTATGGTTTCCAAGAACAACCAGCATAACCTTTGGTTTTATGATATGCTTTTTTCGAGAACAGGTTTCATGATATGCTTGACTGCCCAATTCATGGCATCTCGGCTCCACTTGTTTCGCCTTGCATCCACGATTGTAATTATACTTTTTGTCTTTGCTATTTTAAATTGACTTGTTATTAACTATTTTATTTTTTTCTTTGATTTGATGATAATATCCATAAATTTAACACTCACTTAACAGAAAGATTAACAGAAGACTATTTGTGGTCAAAAATGAAAATCACGGTATATGTTTTGGTCGAATTAAAAGTTGAGAACTAAAAGAAATATTACCATAATAGTTAGAGGATCATTTGTGGTAGTTGTAGACTTCAGATTCAGCTGTGACAATATATTGGGCCAATAGGCCCATTTACGCCAAACTCTTGCAATTTGTCTTAGCGCCCAGACCAAATGAATCCCACTTGTACCAAATCAATAATGTTCCTCATATCCGTCCAAGTCATATGATCGGGCCCAATCGTTGCCATAAAACTCGTTAGATAGAGTGCAGGAAGTTTGTTTTTTATAATTCAAATTTCTGGATTTCGCCAAACGTGCCCAGCGTGCATCATGAGCACGGTAATGCGAGTCGTTATGCTGTGGACTCGTGCCTAGCGTGCATCATGGGCATGGTAACGGTGCCGTCAGGCACCGTTATCTTCCTTTTTTCTTTTTTTTTTTTAATTTAATTTCAGACCGCTTCGTTATAGGAGCATATATTCACAGCTTTGTGTTCATAATTTCGTAACTGTACATTCATAATTCCGTAACTGTACATTCATAATTCAATAACTGTAAATTCATAATTTTCGAAGCTCTATATTCATAATTGTAAGTTCATAATGTCAGAGTTCTATGTTCATAATTTCATAACTGTACATTCATACTTCCATAACTGTACATTCATAATTCCATAACTGTATATTCATAATTCCATACCGAACATTCATAATTTTCGAAGCTCTATGTTCATAATTGTAAGTTCATAATTCCATAACTGTACATTCATAATTCTATAACTGTACATTCATAATGTCATAACTGTATATTCATAATTTCATAACGAATATGCCGTTAACGCTGTTAATGGTCTTTCGAACAAATTTTTTTTTTTTTTTTAGTTAAAACAGCGTCGTTTTCACTGAAAACGATGCCGTTTTCACTGAAAACGATGCCGTTTTAGCGACGTGCGCACGTGCGCATAGCATAATTTGCCGCTTAATGCATTATATCATAAATGAGAATGTTGACAAGAAACTGGGGAGGAGAGGGATGCCACTCCCACCCAACCTGTCAAAGAAAAGTCTTCCCTAGCAAGAGTATGAGCAGCACCGTTCGCAGATCGCCTAGGAAAATAAAAGATTACATCATGTATCTAAGATGCAATCTCTTTTACATCATCAATTATTAAACCAAAAGCTGAGTTGTAAGGATTAGAAGATAAAGCATGATAAACAATGTGTGAGTCTATTTCAACATCAATGTGATGATAGCCCAGGTCCTTCACCCAACTGAGTGCTTCGCGTATGCTTACTGCCTCTGCTTCTTTCATGTCATAATACCCAGCGTGCATGGAACAATATTCATAAGGCACATAAAAGAGGTAAATTCCAAATTACTTAAGTGATTCTAGGTTCCGCGCCACCTGTACATTTCTAGCAAGAAGAAGTCTTAACAATATTGGTCAAAGTCCCTTAATGACTACTCAAATTTCCAATAGAATTCGAACATCTACCATACCGCATGAAGTAAGACTAGTGCAAAGATGTTAATTGTAAATGGACGACTCGTTAAAGTTTCATATGCACTTCTAGAGAGTCTAAACGGCCTTTTTAATTCATTGTTTTGGATGCTTTCAAGTTGGAGATTTAGAGAGCAAAACTCTAGTTTAATACTCATTGATGGATACCCAACATTGGTACCTAGTCGATACCACCTAACAAGCAGTCAAGCATGGCACTCAAACTCAACAGTCAGCACTCGGAACATGACCGATCAGTCTTGACAGTTGACAGTGGAAGAATGAATTAGAATGCAAGCCCTTGGGGTTGGGGATAATCCCATTAATAATAGCCTTCAATCGCATTAATTTCCCATAAATATCAAATTACCATTACCTCATACTACTCTACATATTTTTCATTCTACTGTAAAAGTCGAAGCCAGGAACAAAGAGAGGGAGACAATGATACATATACAGATTACCTACAAATTTTAAAAAATAGTGAATTTTGGATTATCGGAACTGCCTAAAAATTCGTGGTTTTCATCTTTCTGTTTTCACGCTAAAACTCTTGTCTCTCTACTTATTTTTTACATTTTATTTCTCATCCGATCAGTTATATTGGCAGGGGCGGAGCCAGAAATTTTTTTCAGTAAAAGCGAAACATTAAAACAAAAGAGATAATTTAAAATAAATAAATTACCTAAAAATATAGTTGTAAATATTGTTGGATAGGGACGAAAAATAAAACACATTGAAACTTTATAAAAAAACTTCATAACAAAATATAAAATACTAGAACTATGTTGATGCCAAGGATTTGAACCCTTAACCTTTACTATTGCCAAACAATATTTACAACTATATTTTTAGGTAATATATATATATATATATATATATATATATATATATATATATATATATATATATATATATATATATTCTACCAACTAAACTAACTCGTTTTTTGTTGATATTTAATAATTTTTTTTATACTAATACTAAAACATGTACTATATATACATATATACATACAAAGATTTTATATGGGATGGGGGTGGGGTGAGGGGGGCAGCTGCCTCCCTTGCCCCCCTTTGGCTCCGTCCTCATATGTTGGCCAACCGAATGACTACCCTAGGTCACAAAACCAACAGTACTCATTGTTCAATTTTTTTTCAAACTTCCAAAAATATCAAAATTCAAATACATAAATTTTATCAAATAAATGTATTTAAAGAAAGCAAACAAAAACAGAATTTAAAACACACACACAGACATCTCATAGAAACAAACTAGAGTAGTAAAATGATATATCATTTTCTTGTACAAGAAGCGACGGTGACTTAAAGAGAATGAAGTATATTTGCACTTGTCAATAGTTGCCATGGATCCGTTAGCAGTTGCAATGGCACTACATACTTTATATGTTAAGTATAACAACAATTACAAAATTAATGACAACTTTATAAGTCGGCTACGCAATAACATCACCCTATCGTAACCATATACTAACCAAAGTCAATAAAATGTTACTCCGTGTTGGAGCCTACCAAAATTTTGCATTTAAATCACATTCAAACTTATTCAATCACAACTTTAATTCATTATTTGAATTAAATTTATAATATTTTATCTTATTAAATAGACCATTTTGTCCATTTTGTCAATTCGAAAGAATAACTCAACTTGTTCAGTTCAACTGAATATTTCCTAAATTAGCAAAATCAAAATGCATTCATGAATCTCTCGCACTGGCCCGCCGGACCCACCGCAACTTGCCGTGGACCACCTATGTACATCACAGCCTATGTTTATACACACTATTTTGTAACCGTGTAACTATAATTAGATAAATTTTATATAAGAATCATTTTGTTTATATCATATATATATATATATATATATATATATATATATATATATATATATATATATATATATATATATATATATGTGTGTGTGTGTGTGTGTGTGTGTGTGTGTGTGTGTGTGTGTGTGTGTGTGTGTGTGGAATTAGGTTGAAATGCGGGTGGTGCGCCCAGGTACGGTTGTGCGGTGAGAGGAGAGTCATTGATCTTGTCAAAATCAACGTCCAAGATTAACCCAAAAAAAAAACGCGGTGGTAATTTTGTAATTTTTGCATCTAGGTCAAATTTAAGGTGCGTGATTTTTGTGCTTAATGTGCGTGGTTTTTGTACTTAAGGTGCGTGGTTTGTGTGTTTAATGTGAGTAATTGTTGAAACTTAAGGTGCGTGATTTTTGTGCTTAAGGTGTGTGGTTTGTGTGCTTAATGTGAGTAGTTGTTGAAAATTAAGGTGCGTGGTTTTTGTGCCTAAGGTGCATGGTTTTTGTGTTTAATGTGTGTAGTTTGTGTGTTTAATGTGAGTAGTTGTTGAAACTTAAGGTGCGTCAACCTGAAGTTTAAGGTACGTGGTTTTCCTTCTTAAGGTGCGTGAATTGTTTAAACTTAAGGTGCGCCATTTTAAAAGTTTAGGTGTGTGGTTTGTGTACTTAAGGTGCACCATTTTCATACATAATGTTAAGTTGCTTGGTTACTAAAATTTATATAAATTTGATAATAATAATAAAAAATTGAAAGTTTTGAATCAAAATGGTGAAATTATTATACCGAGAGGTAAAAAAAATTTGTTAGACCACGAAGTGTCATGAGTAGATCTTAACTGTATGAAACATCTTTAAGCTCGTATCATATTCAGACTAAAGTGTGTGAGATAAGTTAATCTCAATAGTTTACTGTTGTAATGCGGCTAGTGAATTTAATAATGACAGCAAGATAAGAGCCAAAAAGGAAGAATAAACGTGCTTAGCAATAAGGAGTTGGGGGTGAAGTCCAAGAGGCACGCTTTGGATTGAATCAAGGAGACAGGACCACTGACTAGGATTCACTAACAATTAAGCGAATGTCTCTCGTATCGGTTCCCTAAACTAATGCTAATTAATTCATATCCGTACGCTAATCTTTCTTTCTTAAAAATAAATGTCATAAACATTCCCCAGAAACGTATAATATAATGTCGTATAAAATAAATTCAAATCTGCAACCACTTTCTAGCCCGCTATCTTAATTAATCAATCATAGCTCGTATTATTACCCTCCAATGGCTTTAATTTCCCCATTGAAATCTTCACCGAAAAGAAAATTAAACCAGAACTGTAATTAAGCAGTGGTTGTCGTAATGATGACACCCATCATTAAGGGTGCTGTTACAATGAGTAATTAAAGTTTCATCAATATTATGATGCAATCATGATGATATGATGTAGTGAATAATTAATAATGATTTCCCAGGATTAAATCATGATGATCTAATGATGAACAACACATGAATCTTATTTTTCGTACAAATATATATAACAATTAAGTAGATTATAGAATTATAGATGTATCATCATGAGTAGATCTTCGTAAAGATTGATGCATGCATGGAAATGTTTATACATTTTACACTTCTCTCTTTTCTCTAATTTGATATGATGGATCGAGGTTAAAACTCGGTTGGGTTGAATTTCATAATTTGATCTGATGGATCGAGGTTAAAATTTGGTTGGGTTGAGTTTCATAATTTGATCTGATAGGTCGAGATTAAAACTCAGTTGGGTTGATCGAGTTCGGGGGGAAATGGAGGAATATAATGTCAACTTCTGGGGCGGTGAATTGGATTAGGGTTAAAGAGGGGGAGATTGGGTTGCATGGGGATAGAGTAGTTATTGAAGGGTAAAGATGGAGGGATAAAATGGTTAAAATTGAGTGATGAAGAAGAAGAGTCAATCTTTTGGCCGAATGCTTCCAAGGCTTTGACTTGAGACCTGAGAAATTTGAGATAGTTCGCGGCTTCGTCCAGCATTGATGCAGTGTCCATTTTACTCCCTCCCGGAACCAGTCGTTGCAAAACCCTAATCCGTTCGCTAATCCTCTCCCGTCGCTGCCGCGCCGCCACCGTTTGCGGATCCGTCGATATCCTCACGTTCTTCCTCTTCGGCTTCTCCATCGCCTCCGCGCCGAAGTTCACCGGACGGAACGCCGCCGCACGGTAAATCATCTCCTTCATCTGCGCTATCGCCTCCGAGTCCGGCTCCTCCACCGAGGACGCCGACGAGCTTGGCTGCTGGAAATTGATGTTGGATGAACTAGGGCGGGGGTTCTCCTGCCTGGATTTCTTCGATTTCGGTTGAATATTTTCTGGAATGAGATTGAAATTGGAGGGATCGGGGTTTCTTCTCTTGCCTAGGAGATTAGAACAGTTGATAGTGTCCGAAATTGTGGCGGTTTTGGCGACGGTCTCCTCAAGGCAGGCGGATTCGCCGGAAGAAACCGCATTGCCGCCGGTATTGAAGTTCCATAAACTCTTGCAGTCCGCCGAGAAAATCATGGAAATCTCGTCGTCCTCCGCCGACGCGTCGGTGTTGCTATTCGTCGCAGACAGCAAGCAATCAAACGAAGCCATAGATCCAGCCGCCGGCGCCTTAGCTTGGAAATTACAAAAATCTCCCATTAAACCGCCATTCAAAACATAACCGGCCCGGTTCAGTACATCTCGACCGGAACCACACATTCCAGAACCATCGTCTAAGGCGGCGTCGCTCCATCCCTGACCACCGACTTCCCCAGCCCGTGCAGCCATAGAATCCGCCGCCAATCTCGCCGCGGCCTCTTGCCGCTCCGGCAAGTTCCAGTTCGACACCATATTTATCGGATCAAACGGAGCCGATGCCTCCACCTGCGGCGGCGCCTGACCAACCATTCCGGTAGTCGTGGAACTCGAGCCGCCGACATGAAACGGCTCATCATCCCAGTCGAAAATATCCATACCGAACAGATCGAGAAGATAGCTAGCTTCAAAGCAAAGCCTGTGAGGAATAAGGTCGAACAGAAGCCGAGCGATATATATGATGGAATTATTGCAGCAGACTTCCTATAAAAAGCGTACAATCTCTAACCACCCTCTGATTCATATAATCTGCGATAATATACAAAAATAGCAACTCGTGACGTTAGTTCTCGCCAACAAGATTTTGTCCACTTGCACTATAATTGAGATATACAGAAACTCCAAATTTTTAAAAAATTGTTGGCAAATATATATATATGTAGCAAGTAGAACATATATTTATATATATATACCATGCATATACACTGTATATAGATGGACTACTGTTCTGGAACTTTGAGGAAGAGTCTATTGTAAATGAAGGTAGTTGATGATGATGATGATGCTAAGGAGAACAACCAAAACAAATGTTGTATTAGCTACAAGCAATGGAGTACATGTTTGTTGGAATGCAGGTTATATAGAAAGAATAGGAACGGATGTATTTAGATTTTGGATTTAAATTAAAATATGATAACGTGGGGCATATATATATGTATAAATATATATATATTTAGAGAGAGAGAGAGTTGAAAGAGTTGACAGGAGGTGTAGTGTTTTTAAGAAAAAGATAAGGCTTTTTGGTCAGCTTGGTGGGGCTGTAAGAGTGTATTTTTGCAGATGGGGAGCATGAGATTTCAGAGATGGTGTGGCATTATATTCTGATAAACTTAATAATGGGATTATATTAATTTATTTTTTATTATTTATGCAAGGAAAATGCAATAGTCAAATACAATATTCTTATATATATGTATCGCAGGTGAAGCATACATACACAATATCAATTCAAGTAAAATTGGACATATCTGGATATTCATAACTAAAATAATATGCATATTCTTACCCTCCATTCTCATTGTTAGCTGGATATATCTGGTTTTTCAAATTATTAGTACAATTATTCTTATCATGTTTATAACTCATCAGTAATATATGAGTGTCCATGTAAAGCTGTAAAAAAACATATAGTATATTATAGAGAAATTATTTGTGGTTGAATGATATATATTTTTCAACATTTCCCATAGAGGCAGAATGACTCTATTGGTGTGGCTTAGCTTGGTCTAGATTTGTTTAACGTATTTTATTTTATTCCACAATACGTAAAAAATTTTGATTTTAATTATCTTGTACTATATTAATTAGTTGTAAGAAAATATTATATTGTATAGAAGTTAGAACAGGGCGGAAATGATAAAAATATGAGATGGAGTTGTAGGGTTTATTAATTAATTAATATTAAATGATAAATTGAAAGGTTTAATGAATTGAAGTGGGGAAAAGGTCTGACCTCCTTTTGGGTGGTGTTGCTCATGCTAAGACCATGCGCGCTGTAAAGTTACAGCAAAGTGCAGTCATTTTTAAGCACTTCCACTAATCATAGCTTTAATCATAACATTTTTACGTTATCATTACTTTTTAATTATTCCCTCCTACTTTCCACCACTCTATTTTTTCAAGGTAAAACTTTTTTTAATCATAACCCAATAAATTTATCATCAACTCTTTCCTCCCTTCACATATATTCTTACAAATTACCCTCCTGTCCCATTTTATGTGTCTGATTCGATTAACGAAATTTGACTGAATTTATTTAATCAAAATTTTCATAATATTAAGTTTAATATTAGTATACAAATTTTATAGATTTAAAAACTACACTAAAAGTACTATTGAACACAAAAAAAAAAAATTAATTAATTAATTTAAAAATAAGTAAAGATATTAAATAAAATAAACAAAGAAGCAACAGTTTGTTTGACCAATGAATAGTAAGTATGACAGATAAAATGGGACAGAGAGAGTATTCAAATTTGCAATGAGTGCAAGAGGCCGCTATGCAATGCTTCAATTTATATTTGCCATGAAATCTTTTCGCGAGTCTCTCAAATACATGGGTGAATATATATATATATAGAGGGAAGGGATCAGGTGCGGGTTGTGCTTTTCGTGCGGTTGTGCGGGTGGACGCACATTGAATATTACACTGGTGCACTTTAAGTACACAACACACGCACATTAAACACACAAACAAAATACATTCAGAACACAAACTCACACACCTTAAGCACAAAAGTCACGCATCTTAAGCACAACATTCACGCACCTTAAGCACAAAAACACCCACACCTTAAGTTTTAACAACAACTCGCATTAAGTACACACTCACGCATATTAAGTACAAAACTCACGCACTTTAAGCACAAGACTCACGCACATTAAGCACAAAACTCATGCACTTTAAAGTTTCAACAACTCACATTAAGTACATACTGACGCACATTAAGCACAAAACTCACGCACATTAGGCACAAGACTCACGCACTTTAAGTACAAAACTCACGCACATTAAGTATTACACACTCACGCACATTAAGTATTACACACTCATGCACATTAAGCATGCACAAATCTCACGCACCTTAAGCACAATACTCACGCACATTAAGTACAAAACTCGCGCACAACCGCACGGAAAACCTTCACCCGCACTGGAACTTAAACAGACACACACACACACACACACACACACACACACACACACACACACACACACATATATATATATATATATATATATATATATATATATATATATATATATATATATATATATATATACATGTTGGGGAAAATTCGGATAGAATATGTCGTAGACCTGGGGCTACTGTTTTTTATAGGCTGAGAATGGATGAATCCTGAAGGGATCGGTGACGTGTGCAAGACACTACCTTAAAAGCAAAAATTTCCCGGAGACGGTTGTAGTCTTACCGGTTGCTTTCGACCAGTTAACACCGAAGCTCAGGATTGCAGAAGAGAAGAAGAGAAATTGATGAGTGAATAGAACTGAGGAGAAGCAGGGTATTTATAGTATTGGAAATACCCGCCCCTCCCCTCTCAGCCATTCATGCTCCACGATTTTAGGAAGAGTTGTGGTGAAAATGCCCACAAGAATAGGAAGACTTGTTCCACCACAACTTAATGTGTGGATGGTAGATTTCTACATGAAATCTACCTCTAAAAAGGAAAAAACTTGGAATTAAAATAAAGTCCGAGTAAAACGCTGACCACACCACACCACACCGCGACGCGCGTGCGAACCGAACCGGGCCAGGCCGGGCAGGCGGCGGCGGCACGCATGTGGGGTTCCCTTTCCTTCTCTCTCTACAATAGTTTAAGCCTTCCAAATGGGTTGGTATTAAAAAGGTGGGAATTAGTCCCTTATCCTTCCAATGTGGGACAAGAGTGTCTTCCTTCTACACACTTTAAACCACCATCTTGAATGTAATCTCCAACAATACACACACACATGCAAATTAACATGAAATTAAATGTGCGATACTTTCTTTTATTTACATCGCCATTAAGACATACAAGAGATTAATAAGATTCAAATTCAAGACAAAAGATTAGTTGACATGATTCTAGATTGTTCACATGATTCTAGATTGTTCAATTTGACACTAGACTAAATCACAAATCTAATTACAAAGTCTATATTTGTGTACAAAATATTATTGATATCAAAATTCATATTTCATCTCTACATTAATTGATTTAGGAATAAGGTTCAAATTGGCCACTGAACGTAACCTGAAAGTGCAATTAGGCCACTGAATGAAAAAAAAAAAGTGCAATTAGGCCACTGAACACTCAAAAAATGTGCAATTTCACCTGATAGCAGGTTACCCTCAATTTTAGCAGGTTATCTGCTTACGTGGCAGCTGAATTGACATTTTTAATAAATTTTAATTAATTTTTAATAAATTTTAATAATAACTTTTTATTAAAAAAAATTTAAAAAATAAAAACGACTTTATTTTATTTTTTATTTAATTTTTTCCAATTTTTTTTATAAAATTTATTATTAAAATTAATTATTAAAATTATTAAAAATATCAACTAAGCTGTCACGGAGCAGGTAACCTGCTAAAATTGATGGTAATCTGCTATCCGGTAAAATTGCATACGTTTGGAGAGTTCAGTGGCCTAATTGCACATTTTTTGAGTGTTCAATTGCCTAATTGCACTTTTTTTTTCGTTCAGTGGCCTAATTACATTTTCAGGTTACGTTCAGTGGCCAATTTTTTTTTCCTTCAGTGGCCTGATTTATAATTCAGCCAATAAAAATATTACTAATAGCAATGATAAGTACTAAGATGATATTTTTCTGAGGTTGGAAAGTGAGTCAATGTCATTAGATATTGAATTGGAGCTAGAGAAAAAATAAATTAATTATTTGAAATGATAATTTGAATTTAAGAAATTGATGCGTCAATTTGTTATTGGTTGGCATATATATATACACTTATGTGGTATGTTAAGGATATATACCTACTCCTATCTCACTAAATACATACTGGACCATCACATGACCAATCCAAATGCTACAAACATTCATATTAACTAATCATACGTGAACAAGTAGACTTTGTTACAAGCTAAGCCATTTTAAAAGATAGATCTTGTGAAAATAACATCATCTTTATCTAATTCCTAATTCACCATATATGATATATATATTTTTGGAATTAAAAAGACAGGGGACACCCAAACAATGCAAACTAGCCAAGATATACTACTTACAAACAACCTTTCACCAACGTGGGGTCAAATCAATTTTAAAACATCATCTTCCCAAGGCCAAGTGGCACAGAGTCAAGAACATAAAAACCCCCAGTTAATGTCGATCGAAACAGCAACCTAGCAATGAAGTCCATAGCCTCATTTTGTTCTCTCAAGGCATGCATGAATCTGATTCATCAATTATATATATGAGATAGGTTCAAATGAAAACAACTTCTCCTTTTGAAAGTGAAAGTTGACCACAATCGTTTATCACAACATTATTTATTAATGATTGAGAGTTTTAATTTAAAAAATATATATAGATTAATTTTATAATTATTATAAACTTTCAAATTTATACTATTTAGAAAATTAACTCGTCTCTTTTCCTAGCAACCCTCAACTTCCAAATGAATAAATCAAATTAGTCATCACTTTTTACCCTTCACCTTAGCCCTCCTATATATATATATATATATATATATATATATATATATATATATATATATATATATAGAGAGAGAGTATATATATATATATATATATATATATATATATATATATATATATATATATATATATATAGAGAGAGAGAGAGAGAGGAAGGTTCAAGTGCGGCAGTGCACTTAGGTGCGGCGGTGCGGTTAATTGTAGGCCATTAGATTAGATAAATTCAACGAATCACATTCATCAAGGCTTTTCCGATATTTTCGCGCGCGTTCTCAAACTACGTGAACTGCAAGGTTAAAGTCGTCATTGGGCACCAGAATAGATCAAATCATAGTGTTGTGTGTTTTATGTTCGTTATTGGTGCATTATTAACCTTACTGTGGTGTATTTGAGAATTCGTGTTGGTGTCTTCCCGAGCAAT